CTCCCTCTTACTGCGGCTCCATTAGCGTTTACTTCTTCCCTTTCTCCGTTTCCCTTGAGACGACAAAAGCGAGGGTGCAACCATTCTCACTTTTTAGAGAGTGAGACGACCTCCCATTTCTGATACCCTCGAGGAAAATGATTTCATGGAGTGAATGAACTGGTGATTAATGCACATACGTGCTCTCCAAGGTCTCCCTTCTCACAGAGTGTCATTCGAGGTCCCCAAAGCTCCTTCTGAACAAGCCTTGCGAGAGACGCAAGTGCTGCTCAGAAAGACCAGCGACCACTGCCAAAGGCCAGTGGCAGGGCTGGGGATTCAATCTAACCCTTGTTCTTCCCCCTCACTAGAGGAACAGAAGTTAAATACCTGACTTAACTGGGAAGATTACACCTCCTGTAAATATAAAGAATTCCAGTCATGGAACATTAGATCCTTCTTTCAGAGTTACTTTGTGTTTGTTGAATTAAGCTTCCCACTAATGGTGAAAAACAGGGATTTTTTTTTCATTTTGTGTTTCCGTTGCACCCACTGAAGCCCAGGGCTGAAGCCGCCATCCTTACCAACGTCCATCCACTCCGGAGGAATCAGCCGACACTTCTGCCTCTGCTTCAGATTAATGGCCAACCACAGAGGCACTTCCACCGGCAAGCCAGGATTGAAAGGACCCAGATCTCCCTGGAAGACAAATTAAAGATGAGAGTAAGGCAGCAGTGAGGGATCAGACACCGCAGAACTTGCCTGCTAATTTGGCCTCGGCCATCTCGAGAGAGCGTGAGTTACCAGGGGATTTTGAAAAGCCTGAGTCAAATAGCATCTGAATTTCCTCCTCTTCCTTCCCATAATTCTTGCTCTCAGACTTTTCCTCCTCTCCCTTGAGAAGTAATAACTAACGTTTCCAGTGCATTTTCTATTTCAAAGCGTTTCATGGAAGTTATAGCCAGAAATTACATCTATCCTGGAAACGCAGCCCCCCGGGGCTCAGGCTGAGGCGCTTTCAGAGCTCAGCTCACACCACCAGCACCACAGATCCTGGGGGCTC